GTAACAGATGGTTCTGAACGACATGAAAGACGTAAGCTGCAGCTGCAGCCACGAACTAAGCCAATGGATAGTAAGGAAGAAGATTTACCGGCCAGGCCGACCAGCATATTTGGCCTTGCGAAACCAGTGGATACGTCTGAAAAAGAGAGACAAGTAAGTTTAGGTCCATGTTTAAGGTTCATCATTTTGCCGGTGATTCTTACGAGGTACCCTACTTACGAGGAGCAGAGCATCTACCGATTTTGTTGATGTTTACACAAGCTGGTGCCTTCTGTTGCCGAATTGGTCAAATCTCCGCTTGTTTGGCCAAAATTTTGCGCTTCTCTCTCTTAAAAGTGGTCCAGCAACTTTTTGGCTCAGTTTTACGCCAGTGTCTTAATTTTAGACCCAAGGAAGTAGACAATTGACCGCTTCTTGGCCCTCTCTCTCTTCCTCTTTCCTTGCCTGGATGCATCCGTTACAGTTTTTATCACTTATTGCGATAGACTTAAAACGTTTATTGCCATTCAAGTCTAGCCGACTGCAACGGTATTGCGTTTAGGTGGAGGAGCGATTGCGGCTGGAAGATGAGGCATTTAAGGCGGCAGGACAACGATCCAGAAAGGTTCTGCTCTCAGTTATCTCTAGCTTAGTGCAATTTTAAAAGCAACCTTTCGAAAATCTTGAATTCACTTCTTTGTCTGTCTGAAAGAAACTTTTTGTGGAAAGGAAAGAGGGAAGTGTGAGGTTGGGAGGATTCTCAGTGGTCAGCTCTATAGACGCTAACATAACCAGCGAGAGAGGGTGAGTACCCGGAGTGAATGGGCTTTCCCCTCAGTTTTAGAAGCGCAGAATGATAAGGATTTACTTTCACAGGCACTTTTCGGCTTGATGAGGTTTCGCACAGTTTACTGTCTCGGACTGCCACCGGCTTGCTTCTGAAGGATTCTGGCCAGTACTAGATCTGCCGAAAATTTTACCAATATATGACTGCTTTTGGCTTGCGTTCCCGCCCAAATGATTTCGGAATGCCTGTCCGTCTTCCTAAAAGTGCATTTTGGGGATAATGTTCGGGGAGCTAGTTTTGGCACAGATGAATTTGCTTTCACATGGATTTAATGGGGTAATTGGGAGAGGACTTTCTAAGACTTTTCCCCCGCTTTTCCTGAAAGAGAGTCTTCTGATGCGTTTTTGCATCACCAGATTAAGGCAAAGCATTTGCATCTGAAAGTCCTGAAGGAGTTAAAATTTTTAAGAAACTGATGTTAAATTTTTCATTCCTTCTAGTTTTTCAATGCAAAATTTAAAAAAATGCTCGGAAAAGCAAGCCATGGACAGTCTTGCCTGCGTGTTACCAATCAAGTCGCTTTCATGTGCCTCCGCTTCTCGTAGAAGGCGAAGTATTAAGAGGGGCGAAGTGATAAAGAAATGAGTTATTAGTTTTTTTAGGGAATTCTGTTTTAATTTTATTCTGTACACTCTTGTTCTTTGTAGAGCAGCGAAGAACATGGTATGTCAGTGCCGGTCTCGCCGTTGTTTCAGCATGGCAATGTTACAATCCTGAAAGCACCACCAGCAGCAGTGCCAGAAAATCGTCTACCCGAAGATAGCATTCCTCCACCAGCACCAGTGCCGGAAGCAATTCCGGAAGCAAATCCTGAGCCGCCACCGGTGGAAGAAACTGAAAAACCTCAACAGCCAAATGAAGCAGTTTCACGACAGCCTGTTATTGTTGAGCAAAATTTAGAGAAGCCAACTGCTGCATCAACGCCGGACACGATGCCACCATCTGCAGCAGGATCAGCGGCTGTTCCGGAACCTCCACGACGCCAATCTTTTTCATACGTTAGTTTTATCAAATTAAAGTTGCATGGAACAAGCATTCCGGACGGGGCATGTTTGTTCAGTTCAAATTGGAGCTGTACGGCTCACCATCGAAAGACAAGAGGAAGCACCGCTGCGATGGAACCCTTATATCGGTTGTTTGAACGACAGGCGTATCAGGACGAACTCCTGGGGGAGGGGGAAGGGCGTGGAGCTTCTGGTGCGGCGACGGACGGGGGGAAAGGGCATTCGTGGTATACAACGGCTATTACATTTTTAATTTGTTCTTAAGTTTAAAAATTTTTTATCGCTCTGCTCACTGTCATCTGCTTGCCAAAGCGTAATTTCAGTTTTTTTTTTTTGAATTAACTTGTGGTACTCTCTGAATCATACTCAGGTTCTTGTAAGTTTTAGAAAACCGTTGCCAATTAGTAGATTAATTTACTGCATTCGTTTTTCCTAAACTTGTTGATCCGAAACGTTGAAATTGGATTTTTTATATTCATTTTAAATATTTGAAGGTGTTTGACACAAGCACTGGCATATTTCCTTCTTTTAACTGGGATTGTACTAGGACTGTTGGGGGACGACGAGCGGGAGAAGGGAG